TGATTTCAACCTGAAAAATCTGACTTATGTCAACGAGAAAAGAGCGGAAGACATGAAAAAAATGTGTTCACTGGAAAAAAGAAAACGTACTACTTACTGAATGTCCACTTCGCTTGCTATTTCAACTGAAGGTGAGCTCTCCCATATGGAATAGACTTGTGATATTCTCAAATCGGTGGGTTCAGCGATAAAAACTTTCTTCATTGTCGGCCCATCTACAACCTTAATTATAATCAGTCTCTCTGAACATCACATATCTCTTTTGATTTGCAACAAGCATAATTTTATTGCAATGCATATCTGGCCTGTACAACGACTCTCTTTGGCACATCGCTGTGTCAAGATGATGCTACTATTGTGTGAAATTAATCAGGTTACAATTTGCCGGCCTCGGGCGATTAGATGCTTGTTGAGTCTTAGGACGTGAGAATCAACCAACCCCCATGTATGTGCCGCAGGACACCTCTAACCATTGCACCACATACACCCATACATCAACATAGTGCGATATCAAATACTACAATTAAAAACGCTGAGCTACTAGCAGAACTCGAGTCGTCAGCTGCGTTTCGAAGTCGCGATCACCGTTTCCAGGGGCTCATGTGTTATACATAAACTACAGATGCTCTTTATACTATTGGCCACTGATCTATCTACACTAACACTTGCTTGGATAGTTGCATGATCTATCTTGACAAATTTCAGCGGGGACCTCCTCATGTCGTCACCACGTCAGAGCAGTAGCACCCCTATGTTAGGAGATTATCGCTTCGCGACTAGCAGGTACCAAGACGGCGGCCATTCGTGGTAGGGTTTACTCTTAGTTGGTGGAGGGTGGCGGGGAGGGGGGGGGGCGGGTTGAACCCCGTTGTACTTCGCAATTAGAAACTCAGGAACACTACCCAGCCACGATGAGATAAATAAACAATTTTTAAAAATCAACATTAATGGTATTGATGACTGTACTATGACAATTTAGTTAAATTTATTGCTGAAGGGAGAAATTTAAAAATCTTATTGCAACATCCTGGACGACACCAGCGATTTCCTTCGCCTCCCCATCTGGTAAGAAAAGGTATGCACCACAAAGGTCGTCAGCACCTTTCACGTTCCCCAAAAGTTTTTTCGTTCAGTTTGACTAGTGAAGTATTGGTCGACTGATTACCAAAAAGCCTCAAATAGCTGAATACCTCAAACAATGCTCACATTAAGGCAGATTCAACTAGAGGACTCACAGCAGTTCTCAGAAACTTTATCAAATGTCAATGAATGGCAACGCATGATTTCCTAACAAACAACTGCGATAAAACTAGATAAGGATTTGAGTCTTAGCTGGACATCATGTACTTTTCCGTTCGTACCCTGTTTCAACCCCGGGTACGGATAACGGTAAGGTAAAGTAAACTCTCATTCGGCTGTCTTGTTAGTATAAATCAATTGAAATCTCAAAAAAGAATGATTAAGCTCAAAAAAAGGGGTTGGTAAGCCCAGGGTAATACACGTGTTTCGAGGTCGTCTCCTCACCAGTGACCCCCCCCCACATTCAGGCCTGAAATTGAAGCAAGAGGGTGGCAGTATTGATGATGGCACAGGTAATATGACACTGTACCTCACAAACCCTCAGTCGATAGATGTTTGCTGTTAGATCAAAACTATATCAAAAGATCGAGGTTTTTGAAACCCCAAAAAACATTCAATATAATTCCAAAAAAAGAATGATTTAAGCTCCAAAAAGGGTTGGTAAGCCCAGGGGTCATACACCGGTGTTTCGGAGGTTCGTCCTCCTCATCAGTGACCCCCGGCCCCACATTCAGCCTGCATTGAAAGCAAGGAGGGTTGGCGTATGTGATGATGGCACAGTGTACTATGACACTGTACCATTCACACCTCTCAGTCGATAGATTTTTTGCTGTTCGATCAAAAAAAACTATTCAAGATCGACTGTTTTTGGAAACCCCAAAAATGGTTGAGGGTATACAGTGTCATAGTACCCTTGTGCCCATCCATACATACGCCACCCTCCTTGCTCAATGCCTGCGAGGGCTGAATGTGGGGCGGGGGTCCACTGATGAGGAGACGACACCTCGAAACACCGGTGTATGGACCCTGGGCTTACCAACCCCTTTTTTGAGCTATCTTCTTTTTTTGGAATTATATTGAATGTTTTTTGGGGGTTTCAAAAACAGTCGATCTTTTGCTATAGTTTTGATCTAACAGCAAAAATCTATCGACTGAGAGGTGGTGATGGTACAGTGTCATAGTAACACTGTGCCATCATCACATACGCCACCCTCCTGTTCAATGCAGGGCTGAATGTGGGGGGGGGTCAATGTGGAGGAGGACGAACTCCGAACACCGGTGTAGAACCTGGGCTTACCAACCCCTTTTTTGAGCTAAATCATTCTTTTTTTGGAATTATATTGAATTGTTTTTGGGGGTTTCAAAAACAGTCGATCTGTTGAATAGAGTTTTGATATAACAGCAAAAATCTATCGACTGAGAGGTGGTGATGGTACAGTGTCATAGTACACTGTGCATCATCACATACGGCCAGGCTCCTTGCTCAATTCAGGGCTGAATGTGGGGCGGGGGTCACTGATGAGGAGACGAAACCTCCGAAACACCGCCGGTGTTATGACCCTGGGATTACCAACCCCTTTTTGCGCTTCAATCATTCTTTTTTGGAATTATATGAATGTTTTTTGGGTGTTTCAAAAACAGTCGATCTTTTGATAAGTTTTGATCTAAACAGCAAAAATCTATCGACTGAGAGGTGTGTGGTACAGTGTATAGTACCACGTGCCATCATCACATACGCACCCTCCTTGCTTCAATGAAGGGCTGAATGTGGGGCGGGGGGCACTGATGAGGGAGGCCGAACCTCCGAAACAACGGTGGTATGACCATGGGCTTACCCAACCCTTTTTGGAGCTTACATCATTCTCTTTTTTTGGAATTATATTGAAGTTTTTTGGGCGGGGTTTCAAAACACAGTCGATCTTGTGATATAGTTTGATCTAACAGCAAAAATCTATCGACTGAGAGGTGGGATGGACAGTGTCATAGTACACTGTGCCATCATCACATACGCCACCCTCCTTGCTTCAATGCAGGGCATGAATGTGGGCGGGGTCACTGATGAGGAGGACGCAAAACCTTCCCCCCCCCCCCTGCAACACGAGGGTATGACCCCTGCTTACCAACCCTTTTTTGGCTTAAATCATTCTTTTTTTTGGAATTTATAGAATGTTTTTTTGGGGGTTTCAAAAACCAGTCGATCTTTTGATATTTGAAATCTATTTGTTTTAACTCTTATAAGGCAGTGTACGATGTTATAAAATGACACATAAGAAAGGTGATTGGGCGCAAAATACTCTACTCCAGACAGTAGTTGAGTACTTACTGTAGCCGCACCTTGGGCGCCTAATACCAGTACACCACCAAGATCGCCGCTTTCTACCACATCTTTTTCAATATATCAATTCATTGTAGTTTTTTAGCAACTAACCGTTGACGGGTTCGGTTAGGTAAGCTAGCTGACAGGTAGATAGAGTATCAAAGAAAAAGGTGTAACATAGCCGCGCTCTTAGTGTAGTGGTAGCACGCGCCCCTGGCATGGGTGAAACGCAGGTTACCCTCTGTCTGACGTCTATGTATAGTAAACCACTCGAAACCTTTAGATGCGTTGTTGCTTATAACTTCGACAAATTCTATTTTCTTACTTCACATTGTTCTCAACTTTGTAGGTGAAAAAAAGCACATTCAAGCAAGCACTTTTAATTAACCTTATGTGAACAAAGCGTGTACAGTATACTGTGCACTCGTACTAGAAGGCGCTTGTTGCTGGACAAAGCTCCTTTGCTATACTTTTAACATTCGTTCGCCAAATTGAAAAACGACAATTTCGATAATATACTTGTTTTCCGGAAAGGCCTGCTCAATGTGCTATAGTAGCGAAAAGAAGATTACGCTTCGCACTTAGGCAAGGAGCGCTGAGGTCCTCACATGAAATTGTGTTGGAGGTACTTGCAAAGCCGAACATAAATGAGAAGTTAACTTATCTTCTCCATGACGTCGCGCGCCATAATGGACATAATGAATATTTGGATCAATTTTAATATGGCCTTTTGGCGTAGCTGATTAGAATTAAATTTAGGCAGTAATTGGAGAGATTACAACTTTAAAAATTATCAGTGGCTAACCTTCAGATAACCAGCTGATCCGCCGAAAGTTGTACTAAGGTGCGAATTACTAAGCGTAATCTCGTTTCCAATTGTCGATGTGATTTCGAAACCAATAAAAACTGAATGGGTTAATTATAGAGACAACAGGCAATGAATCTACAGTGCAAAATATGACCATTTCAAAAGCAAAGCACGGTGTTACGAGCAACTCAGAAACTACCGCAACAAAAATGTCACAGATTATGGCAAAAACACAATTTACACAACCCTTTGTGGACCGCCGTTGATGGGAAGAGGCGTCGCGCTGGTCGTTCGTACGGCAGTCGTAGGCAGGCACCAATTGCACCTCGATTACGCTCGCAGATGCTGACTTTCTGCCTTTTTTCGAGGCGGGACGTCGCCACTACAGCGGCTGAGTAAGATGCGACGTCGCGCGGCGTGCTACAATTGGTAGCACGTGGTCACCGAAGGGTTAAAACGTAAATGAACTGTTCAGTGCTATAGGAATTCTTCATTCTACTGTTCTTTTAGCAGTGTCACCATATTATAATCACATAGCCAGATTCTGAGTGATATGTTAGATTTTGGACCCTAAGCAGGAGTTGAATCCACGTCTCACCCACACTGAGGATGCGTGCTACCAGTACACCACGAAACCGACCGCTATGCTATCACTCTTTCTGCGATAGAAGGAACGAAAGGCATAGAAGCTGTCAGCAAGTCTGTCAGGTAAACTAACTATACCAAACCTGCTGATGATTGGTTACTGACAGCTCCGATGCTTTATATCGAAGATACACTGATAACACAGCCATGCTCTAGATGGTGTAGCGGTAGCACGCGCCTCGGTACAGGTGAAACGCGGGTTTAACTCCCGCCTAGGTTCAGAGGTTTCGACCACTGCATAACTTGAGCATCTTTGAGTGTTTAGCGTTATTTATGTTAGGGTACGTATATCATTCTCAGTGACAGCATGGGTACATGAAAAATCCGAAAATATACTTCGCTTCAAGATAGTGTCCGAAATACACAAATCAACTACGTTATACATCGTATAAAGTGAGCGCGTGTGGGTGCAGCAGTCAAAAATGCCATGCGACGCAGACAATGTAGATAGCTCGATCTCGCTCCCAAGACTCACCAAGCACTCAATAATTTCGAGGTCAGCAAAGCGGTACGACATATCTGGGAGTGTAGCAGCACCGACTCTTATGACGTCGAATCCACGTTACATCTCTCATAGACTGATCAAGACCGATAGGTTTGTACTATGCAAGAGTTTTCAAAAAACACAAAGTCATACTAAGGTGAACTCAACTAAAGGTTAATGTTGTCTTTGCCGAAATAACAGCTAAATTTCTTGCACAACTAGTGAAATAATCTAGCACTTCATAAACTTTTACACCAAACGCTTTCAGATCGTCCACGAAGCACAACTAAATTTGCAAATTGCAATTCAGCAAAGTTTTTTCTTACTTAAATAAATTAAGGCAGTCTAGGATGAATCACTGTCAATATTCACATGTGATGACGACGTTCAAAGAGCTCAATGATACCGAATAATAAAATGTTAACACTCTCACGAGGAAGTGACACCGATAGATACCAAGTTCTTCCTTGGAGTTTATTTCGCTCCACAAGAGCCTTTCAGTCGAGTTTTTGTATTAATCGATGGGCACACTGGCTTGCCTCGTCCATGGTAAGACGTTTTTTCAGTAACTTCCTAATGGATTTTTTACAAGTGTTCCTTGCTTTCAATGAGATAACGTGGTTAACGATGTTTGCCGCAACCAGTCAGTTGGCAGTTTGCTCAAATGGTACCTTTCCTTAGGAATTTGAGATTCTGAATCCGTTTAGTCTGGGAAAAAGTTCAAACCCTATCGAGTTTGGCATGTCACTGGCTCAAGTACACTTCGGCGGTATCGCCCGCTTATCAGAGCCACACAGCCTACACTAACCCCTACTTTGTAGTATGAATGGGGAGACGTTATGCTGAAAGCAGGCGATACTGTGTTAGCTCGAATAGGCTTCAAACATTATCCACTATATTAGATGATTACAGCGAAGTTAAAAAGCAGTCGATTCAAAGGATGTTCAGGTCGGCACTTTTTGAGCAATAGATTGATTATAGAATGTCCAGAGAAAAGTTTCGGTGCACCAAAATAAACCCACGGAAAGATTATCTGACACCTACCGGTGTCTAACGCTTTTTTGGTGGTTTATTATTGATGAACATAAGTCTTTCCGGGCTTTTAATAACCAGTTGACAGCTTGCGAAATGTAGATGTAAAACCATCACTGGAACAAGAAAAACTGTCTTCTCAATAGCGCAGAAAGTAGCGTAGAAAGAGTGGTGTCAAAACAGGCGTTGGTAGTGCAACGGTTCACCACGCACTTTCAGAAAGAGTGAAATCTGGGTTAGAATGCAGCAAATTAGCCATCGAAAAATAAGCAGAATTTGTAGACGAGACTTCGTCGTGAGAATCTTAATGTGTGCATAGTATGGTATATACCTCATACTCGCTACTCGCAACAAGTTTACCGTCCTTGATCTCAATTATCGGCGAAATTTGTTGTCGGATCTGAAATCAGTTTAATGGCAAAAACTGAAAGCAAAACTGTTCTCAGATTGAAAAAAACAACTTCTAAAGAGACAAAAATAGATTTCCATGTCTTTGCTTCAATCCATGATGATACTGCAACCATTTTCCCTTTCGCTGTGGGGTTGTGTCGAAAACGATGCATGCGTTTCTGCGTTGTTCGGACCGCTTACAAATTATTGGCACTACCCTCCATTAAAAACCCGACCGACAACCCAGCAGAGCTATTTATGTTAATAGTACAAAGTATAAACGAGTACACGAAAAGTTAGCATTGTCTTCAATCGTTGAAAAATTAGGATTGATTCTCGCCAGCCCCTCTTCAAAGCCGTTCGAACTGTCCGCCTGCACAAAAGCGTTCGCCGTAGCGCAAAGGTTCAATTTGATTTCTGTCAAATTCTTGAATGTAAGATACTTCTTTTCCATCGTCATCCTCAGAATAGGCGTTGCGTGAATCGACACGTATACATACAGACTCATCGCGTGATCTCGATAGCGGATTGAACACGGTGACAAAACTGAAGAACATGGATGATGACAATTTAGTGACTGGTGCGTAATGTTCAAATCTTCCCGCTGCATTCAAGAGTGCCAAACATTTTAGTGGTTTCATTTGCCTCAAAGAGGTTTGTTGTCGCCATTCTTTCACTTACTGATGGGGCCAGCTACAGGAAAATTGCATTATTTTAGTGTTGTTCAATTGCACATTTTCTTTCGGACATTTTGTTGTAGAACTTGTTTGATATTTTCAAAATGGAGCCTGTCCTGGGAACAAACTCGCTTGCAGCTTATGCACGACTGGTGTGTAGAGAAAAACGCTAGTGAAGCAGCGCGAAAGATCAATGGAGCTTCCTGTGGACTGACCCGAATGCGACTGATCCTCCAGACTGTTCTCTCCAGCTTTGAACATCGCAAAGCACTTGAACCAAGTTACAGATTGTTGAAGATCATTGTAGATAAAGTTATATACATTGATCCGGTTATGTTACGGTATCACTATATGAAATATTTTGTGATATGATGTGTCAGTGATTGCAGCATACTGTAGTGTAAGCAAAATATGGCACCAAAAAAAAGCAAAAGTGAAGTGTTTTCGATAAGGGATCGAAGCAGCAAACCTTCTAAGCTTCTTTCTGATGAACGAGTGCCCAGTGAGGGAGAGGAGTGAGACAGACAGTGATTGCCATGCTGGCGATAGAGTTGCAGCGTCGCAGAGGGGGGGGGGGGGGGGGGGAGGGTTGTGGCCGTTTGTGCCCGGGTTAGAGGAAGTGGAGTTGTTCCCAGCAGGGATGAGAGCAGTTTCCTATTAGACGCGCCCATTTTAGGTACACGGAAGTCAAGCAATCAAGATGGAGCTGACAAGTCCGCTAGCTGCTCATGCATGGATGCCGCATAGGGAAAATACTAGTGAAGCGGCGCGCAAAGCTTCAACCTTTTAAGCCACAGGAGAGATGGTGGGCTGTACAACGCATCTCGCAGGAATTGCGCGATTCTCGTTATTCAGTGAGATGTTTTCTTACATTTAGAAAGTGAAACGTAAGGTTTTTGTGTTACATGTTTTTCTTCCATATATAGCTTTTTGTTCGATAGAGACCTTGAATGCGAAAAAATAATCTTCTTTTTGCTGTAATAGCATTCTATGATAACCTTTCAAAAAATCGGCTATTACAGCATCGAGTTTTTTCGAGGTTTGGACTGTTGAATTATTAGTTAGAAATTTGATCTCGAGCTATTCTAGCTATTTCGCTTTCAGCAGCACCGAATAGGTAACAGTTCTCCTTCAGATCTCTAAATAACTCGGTACCATTCTGTCACAGAGACTCCACGTTTCAACCCTTCAAGAATAAGGTGATCTTCGCTTCCACTTCATATTTCTATAATCAACTGATAGCTTAGATGTCGGCGATACCAATACTGCGCTACTTTCCCAAAAAAAAAGATTTCTTACTGCGCTGCAGCAGCGAAAATAGCCTTGAGTCTACACTCGGAGCACACAGTCGTGCATATCTCCATCATTCATCTTAGTTTCCCCTCTATCTCGTAGATTTGCAGGTATCATATATTGAACTTCTAGTAGAAACTTTGTTCACCGCTGATGGCGTCCTACTTTGAATAGTGTTGCTGAGCAATTTCGATCACTTCCCATTAGTGAATTTGGTGTTTATGCTGTAATGCCAAAACTTATGAGAATACCTAATATTACTAGTGCAGCGAACTAATTTCTTAATATCCATGTTTCATTCTCTGATTTAAACAATGGACTAAGTGCGTCAAAACCATTTGAGGAGCCTAAAAGCATTGTAAATATGAATGCTCCCGTGTGCAGGGGAATGCACGTCGTACCGAAAGGTTGGAAATGCAGCAAACTATCCTATCACTCCACAACACGTTTTCTCCTTCACAAGGCAATTCATTTTATGTCCGCTATTCCACGTTTACACCGAGAAGTGAATCTCGGCTGATTAATCAATCAGAAATAGTTGTAACAAAAACCATAAAACACGCTCAAATGGCAGTGCATTTGCAATGAAGCATGTTGTCAAACAGCAATTAATAATCCAAATATCACGCAAAGCAAAGGAGAGGTAAAGTCAAAGTTTAGAGTACAGCCCTGTCTTGTCCAGGGCATCTCAAACACTCCAGTGCTTCAAGAAATTATTTCATTATCGGAAAAGCAGGAGAATCCACAGCCAAACAAGCGCTATTCAAATTTTATTAGATCATTCACAAAAAAGAGGTCGTCTCAAGTCGATTGATCAAAGAAAAGAATAATGATTACCTGCAATTTAATATGACCTTCTGGCTTTCAACGAAAAGCCCAAATTTCTCGAACATCCAGTGTGGTCTCTAATAAAACACTCGAAATAAAGTATAATATGATGAAAGATACTGTTTCATTGAAACGATGCTTTTCTTTGAATAATTCAATGATTATTCGATAGCACAAAATCTCGACAAATTCAAGGTAGTGTTCTTGGTGTCCTAAAAAGCTTACTATTGCGCTATAACACTTGAAATCAGATTGCATTTCATGTGCTGCGCGCATGCCTTTAGCGTATGTGTATGCAGCTGCTCCGGAATAGTAGATATTTCTTTACCATTCTGCATTTCCTGCATTAACTAATATCTGTTAATGTGATTATCGCAGTTGAATCTTCTCTTACATTCAGTTCAAGCTTTCACATCAAGTTATAACTGTAAGCTAATCTCAGACGCTGTAACATTGCTTTAGAGTAAACATGGTACAGCTTCTTTGTTGCAATGCCATTGGAATGTCGATTTCATAGCCTT